CTAATAACAGCCAGAGAATAGAACTTTTCACCGTCTTCCCTTCCGCCTACTGATGCCTGCCAGGTCAATGGCCAGTTTCTCTGAGTCTGAGTATTCCCATTTCATACCAAAGATGCCTAGGTAACCATCTGAGGATTAATCTTTCTATTTTTTTAGTTCCCTCCTTTTCCTGGTTTAAAAGTGCCCCGAACCTTTGTGATTTATGGATCTGTATGAGAGTTCTACTAGCACCACACTGAGCTAACTTATTTTCCAGTAGACTCACACAAATCTGATTACCCAGAGATATTACCCAGTAGTAAGCTTCATTAATAATTTCAAAGATATTGGGGCGCCTGGACGGCTCAGTGGGTTAAGCCTCTGCCTTCGGCTCGGGTCGTGATCTCAGGGTCCTGGGATCGAGCCCCGCATCGGGCTCTCTGCTCAGCAGGAAGCCTGCTTCCTCCTCTCTCTGCCTGCCTCTCTGCCTACTTGTGATCTCTGTCTGTCAAATAAATAAATAAATAGTCTTTTAAAAAAAAATAATAATTTCAAAGATATTAGCAGTCAAGAGACTCATGTAGTAGGGAACAATCTGGTACATGGAGAGGAGCTCCTTACTTAGAGATCGTGTCTACACTGGGTGAGAATACATGCCTGACATAGAGAAGGAAAGACCAAAGCAGCTGCCCTTAATGTCCCAGACTTCTCCCTAATTAGAACCTCTAAATTGCATATATTTTTGAAATTGTAAAGCTTGACCCTGGGTAAAATCTGTGTTTCATGATCCTTTGTATTCACTCACCCATAAGTCCATCCTCTTTTCTTATTCCTTCATATTTCAGTATCTCAGATCATTTTCCATCTTCCTGAACTAATTCTTTAACATTTTTTTCATTGTGTACTTAAGGCTGTAGCCAAACAAAATCAAAATGGTATTGGTTTGTTCAAAAATATATTCTGCTTCTATCTTGGAGCTATTTTATCTGTGTGGCAATTCTGGATTGGTGTCATAATGCTCTAGTATGGAAATCCATAAACTTCAGCCATGGACTGGCCACATGTTTTGTAAATAAAGTTGGGATATAGCCATGCCCTTTTGTTTACATATTGTCTATTGCTGCTTTTATCCAACAATAGCACTTGAGTAGTTGCAAACAGAAACCATATGGCCTGGGAGTCTAAAATATTTATTATTTGGCAATTTAATAAAAAGTTTGCCCACCTCTGCTCTAGTTCATTGGTATTATCATTCTATTACCTTCTGGCCTCTGTTGTTGCTATTAAGAAGCAACCTGTTGCTACCTGAGCCGTAGGTAGACAGTTAGCAGACTGAGCCACCCAAGCACCCACCAACTCATTTAATTTATTAGATCTAGGTATATTCAGATTTTCTAGTTCTTCTAGAATCAATTTTGAGAACTTTCAGAGTACTTTTCCATTTTACCTAAATTGTTATTATTTATTGGCATAAAGGTGTTTGTAATATTCCTTCATTATCCTTTGTCTGTATGATCTGTAGTGATGTTCCCCTCTTCAATCCTAATACTGATAATTTGTATCTTCTTTTTTCTTCTTGATAATTCCAGTTAGAGATTTATTAATGCTATCTTCTTTAAATATATTTTGTTTTCATTAATTTTCTCTATTGTTTTGTTTTGTATTGCACTGACCTCTGATCTTTACTTTCTTTCTTGGTATATTTCACTTTTCTTTCTCTACCATATCTTAAGATGAAACATTAGGATCATGGGTTTTAAATACTTCTTCTTTTCTAATATAAGCATTTAAAACTAAATTTCCTCCTGAGTATGGCTTTAGCTGCATCTCACAAATTTTGATACACTGTGTTTTTAATGCAGTTCAAAATATTTTCTATAGTCTTTCTTTTGTTATTTCTTCTTTGAACCATGCTTTATTTAGAAATGTGTTATTTAACTGCCAAATATTTTGGATCTATCAGATATCTTTCTGTTATTGATTTATAATTAAATTTTAGTAAACCAAGAAGCTCAGTCTATAAGATTTAAATTTTTTTTCAACTTAATGAGACTTCTTTTTATTGTCTTATATGTAATCTACATTGATGAATGTTCTATGTGCACTTAAAAAGAATATCATTCTGGGGCTCCTGGGTGGCTCAGTGGGATAGGCCTCTGCCTTCAGCTCGGGTCATGATCTCAGGGTCCTGGGATTGAGCCCCGCATCAGCTATCTGCACAACGGGGAGCCTGCTTCCTCCTCTCTCTCTGCCTGCTTCTCTGCCTACTTGTGATCTTTCTCTTAAAAAAAAAAAATATATTATTCTATTTTTTTATAAAGTGTTATTTAATTGTCAACTAGATCTTCTATACTTCTATACTTCTATATCTACTTGTTCTATCAATTATTGATAGAAAAGTACTGATTATCTCCTGACATTATAAACTTGTCTATTTCCCCTTTAATTTCTGTCAGTTTTTGCTTCATGTATTCTGAAGCCTTTGTTAGATGACTATAGGTTTAGTATTATCACATATTCTTGATTATTTAATCTCTTTATCATTATGAAATACCCTTCTGAACTCCTAAAGTTTTATAATGTTTTGCTTATATGATATTTATTCGTTTCAGCTTTATAAATTATTTGTGTCTTCATACCATTACCTTTCCCCATTCTTTTACTTCTAATCTATGGCATTTTTGTATTTAGACTGGATTTTTTTGAAGCTAGAAAACAGATAGGTCTTATGTTTATCCAGTCTGACAATCTCGGTCTTTTTATGTACTTATTTATGTATTATTTATTTATTTATTTATTTATCTGCCTTTTTAAAAAAAATTATGTTCAATTAGCCAACATATAGTACATCATTAGTTTCTGATGTAGAGCACTGGGTGTTACACATAATTTGTCTTTGAATTGAATCTTTAGAACAAGGACTGTAAAATTATGGCCTTCTAGTCTGTGCCCATTTTTGTATGTTCGCAGGCTTAGGCGTTGTTAAGAAGGAAGAAGCAAGCAAGAAGGAAGCAGCACAAGTGACTCACAAAGTTTAAAATATTTACAATCTGGCCATTTACAAAAAGGTTTGCCAATACTCGCTTTAGAGCACTACAGAAGCATAGCTAAGACAAAGAACATAGTGAGAAGATCTACAATAGAAAAAAATGAGGTCACAGAAAGAAAAGAAATAAAGGAACAGGAGAAAAAAAAAAAAAAAAAAAATTGAAGAAAAAAAAAAAAAAAAAAAAAAACCCTTGAAGAAATAAAGGATGAGGGACGCCTGGGTGGCTCAGTCCATTAAGTGTCTGCCTTCAGCTCCGATTATGATCCCAGGGTCCTGGGATTAAGTCCTGCATCAGGCTCCTGCAGGGAGCCTACTTCTCCCTCTCCCCCTGCCTGGGCTTCATCTCTTGCTATCTCTATCTCAAATAAATAAATAAAATCTTAAGAAAGAAAGGAAAGGAAGGAAGGAGGAAGAAAAGAAAAGGAAAGAAAAAAGAAAATGAGTTGGTAATTACAATCCTTCCCATAAATTAAACTGCAAGCTCAAATAGCAAATTTCTTATAACATTTAATGAAGAATTAATACTAAACTCTTAGAGGTTGACAGAACCCTTCACAACATAGTTTAAAAGGTTATTACAGTGATACTAAAGTCAAACAGATATTCCAAGAAAATAAACTACAGATCAGTATCCCTATGAACATATATTTTTTTTAAGATTTTATTTATTTGCGAGAGAGAAAGTGCAGTCAGAGAGAGCAGCAGGCAGAAATTCCATCCATGGACGTATGGATAAACAAAATTGTTTTATCCACACCGGAATACTAAGCAACAATAAGGAATGCACTAGAGATATACACAAAAGTATACATGAATCTAAAAAGTATGCTTATTGAAAGAAACCACACACAAAAACATGCATTTGTTATCATTCCATTTATAAGAAACTACAAAATAAAAATCTAGTATGTAATGAAAGAAGGAAAATCAGTGTTTGCTTGTGAACAGGAGGATTTTCTGGGAAAGAGTACTAATGAATTCGAGGAGGTAGAAATGTTTGTATATTGATGATGATATTGATCACTCAAATGTCTCTCTTGTAAAAGTCAACAAAATTTACCCTTTAAATGAATGCACTTTATTTTATGTAAATGATACTTCAGTGAAGTTGGGAAAAGACATCCTCCTTTGTTAGCAGAAAAAGTCCTTTGTAATTCAGATGTACATCCTCTGAGGATTGAGAGTTTATTTATTTAACTAGATATAAACTTAGCAGCTTGCTTTTAACTTTTTGAAATTATCTCCTTAACTCCGTTGTCTACTTCATATTTTAAAAGGAAGGTGAAAAATACGTGCTAGTCTTAGACCAAGCATATAAAAATACCTAATGAGTGTCAGTGGACAAGGTTAAATAATTTAAGGTGGTAGTAGATAGTCAGGTTTTGTGCAGCATACAATATTTTGAGGAAATTACGTGCTGAGGATGTATGTGCTGCTTTCACACATATTTGATCCTCATAATAGGCTGTGAAGTAGATAGGGCAGGCATCATCATTCTCTGTTACACATGAGCACACAGGCTCAGAAGATTATGATATAATTTGATGACGATCACTTAGCTGACAATTACTAAAGGATCTAGAGTTCAAATAAAGAGTTTCTGGCTTTTAATTCTCTCTCCACTGTGAAACACAGCTTGCCTTTAAAATATACTCTTGTTGCCTTCTCTGTATGTCTCTCTACCCCTCCCTTTGGGAAAAAAAAAAAAAACAGTAACTTTATTGACATACATTCTTAATAAAATTCAGATTTCTTTTCAGGCTGAAGTTTTCAATATTGGTTCAGGGTATTGCCATATTAATCAGAAACATTTGTGGACATTTATGCAGTGATCAAAAATTAATTCTAGTGCTTCAGGGAGTAATCAAACTTAGAACATACAAAATAACCCGAACAGTTACCAAGAAATTATGTAATTTGACTAGTTTTCTGAGTCTAATATACTAATTTAATTCATTATGATAATTTTCAGACTAAATAAACTTGAAGATACTATTATACTAATTAAAGGAAAGATTGAAGAAGTTTGCCTTCCTGTAGAAAAAGTGGATGTTATTATATCTGAATGGATGGTAAGTGTTTGCAGAAAAAACTACTTGTATTGGTTTTAAAAAAAGAAAGCAATGAATAAGGTAGTAGTTTTCTGCATTTAATTATATTTGATAAATGGCAGGAAAATGGCATTATTTTAAAAACAGCTACAATCTTTTTATGGTAGTTTATTCTGATATGGCACTTACTGGCTATTTGTAATCTTATTAAAAAGAGAATAAATTAGCTTTTTTACTTTTAAAATCATAATAAGGAATTATTGTTTTTCTGTTTTGTAAATTTGTAGAGAACTACATATGTTTGCTGAAAAGTCTTTGAGGTCTAGTAAGGACTTAGTAGGACTGTTTGATCAAACTTAACATGATGTTGCCAGTATTGCTGTAATACTGAATGTCCTGTCTTTCCTATGTCAGGCCATGTACTCAGTGTCCTTTATCACACAATAAAATTAAGATATGTTATATAGTTTTAGAATTTGCTTTGGAAATCATAAGTCGGTACAGAATGTTTATTTTTAAATGTATATGAAGTAAAACTAATGGTATTCAACAATTAATTTGACTTGTTTATAATGCCAATTTGATGAAGACAAGTTAGTATTTCTAAATAAAGATTTCTTAAGTATTTGGAAGGTTTTTAAGCCTTTAAAAAAAAACCTGTATTTGATACATATATTTTCACTAAATGAACTTATAAAAAATTTTTGGGAAAAAATTCATTATGCTTTATATTATCTGTACATTTTGAATAAACATAGCAATAATTCTAGCAAAATAGGGATTTCAGGGAGCTTTTGAAATGTTCATATTTAATGTATAAGTAAATTTCGGTCTAGAGCTGGTGACAGTCACCATTGTTAGCAGTACCTCTTTTGTACATGAAAGAGTATGTTGATTTTTTTATGGTAGAGTTGGCTTTTAATAATTTTTAATCACAGTGTCATTATTTATCTTATACCAAAGAATTTGTATTAGCACTCTGATTTCTTCTATGAATTGGGTGAAAAGATAGGGGTTTAGTTACATATAATTAAAAATCCCGCATCTTTTAAAGGGGCTTTGTAGAAGCACATTTGAGGCATTTACTCAGGAATAATTTATAATAGTATATACTGAATGTTGGCTGACATCCTCATTTCTCCAGGGACCATTTTGCTTTTCTTGGAAAATACATCTCTTAAATTAGTCCAAATTATGATATAAGCAAACTGAGACAGACTTCACTAAGCTTCCTGTCACTTCAGTTGAACATTTTTGCTTATCTGGGTATAACTAGTTGCATAGTTCTTGACCTGCCTAGCAGAATTATACTTCTAGATACTGATGTTCTAGGAATTTTCATTTTAAAATCTGAAAGATGATCTAGAAGTACGAATATTCTATTGAAATCTTAGAGCCAGTTGGTATAATAGCAAAAAATTAACTGGGTTGACTGAATTTGTGAGATTGTCACATTTACAATATGAACTTTATTGAAAGGCTGTGCTGGTCTTGGGCTTATTTGTCAAGTGCATTTTACACTCTTCTCCTACTTGCTTCTGTACTGAAGGAGGGCTAATTCTGCAGGCTGCTTTTTCTAGGCTCCAGGGACAGCCATCTTCCATGGGGTTTGAGAAACCCAATGGGAAACACTGATGGGGGATTTAAAGAAAGGGAAAAGTCAGGACATTTCTGTGCTTCTGTTTGCCTCTAGTTATATTGCTGGCAGAAGCTATTTCTTTTGTGACTCCAGTTCCCACTGGATAAGTCTGTCATTAATTCCAGTGACTGTGTGACTCTGGCCCTGGACTCTTATAGCAGTGCTTCTTCCTTTTGTCTCTGTAGCCTAGGAATAGTAGTTCCTTCCTGGTGTCTGCTGGTGTCGAGTTGTCTCTGTCTCTTCTTGATCACTTACCGTATCGTATCTTTTACCCTTTCTGTAAAAGGTAACAACTTCCTGCATTCATTTTTCTCTATTTCATGACCTAAGGTTTCTGGTCTCCTAGACTGTAATTGGTGTAAAGGGTACCTCTCATTTTGGAGGATTGGTCAGATATGATCTCCGCCTTTATTAGGAAGGCAGTATAATACAGATAATTCTGAGTCACAGGAACCTGGAATGAAAACCAGTTGTTTGGAACCAAAATGCTTTCAGAAGCTCTTCCCTAAGAGAAGTAAATCAGTGTATTCAGGAAGTGTTAACTAAGAACTTTCCTTATTCCTCTTTACAAGGGTGTAACTGAAGAGTTTGCATTATCTTACTGTCCTCCTTTCCGTATAGGTGTCAGTGGAACTGAAGTCTAGCAGATGGTGTTAAACGAGTCAGGTGGAGCACTAGACTCAAATATATGGCAGTTATTCTAAGGCAGTCAACTTCGATAGCCTTATTTCTCTAATAAAATTTGCGTTAAGCTTTTTAAATAGGTTTGTTCTGGAATGTTTGAGTCAACTTTGTGGATTGGTAATAATCATTTATAGTACTTTCTAAATCCTATAAGTTCTTTTTTAAATTGGGTATTTCCAGGATTTCTGAGCTTAGTAGTTGGAAAATTCCAAAGACCTAATTAAACAGGAAGAACAGATAGGCTTTTTAAAATATATCCAACATTTTCCAGATATTTCTGCTTTGGCTGAAATAGTGGCAAGTGGTAAATCATTGAGTATTTTTTTTCCAAAGGTTTTATTTATTTATTTGACACAGAGAGAGAGATCAAAAGTAGGCGCAGAGCAGCAAGCAGAGAGAGAGAGTGGGAAGCAGGCTTCCTGGTGAGCAGAGTCCAATGAGGGGCTCGATCCCAGGACCCTGAGACCATTAACTGAGCCGAAGGCAGAGGCTTAACCCACTGAGCCACCCAGGTGCCCCAATCATTGGGTATTTTAAATCTATTTTAAACACACATTTCCATTAACCAGCATCTTAAAACTAAAATATATTGCATAGAATCCTCTTTCCTTTTTTTTTTTTTTAAACATATAGTGGTAATGATACAAAAATCTAGAAACACACAATTTTAAGCCATAGCATACATTTTTTTTCTTTTTTTTTGAAGTTCAACAAGAAAAGACAAAAAAATACATACTCTGCATAAAAATTGGACTCAGATGTTTAATGTAGCAATGTAGGTATCATATGTTACAGAGATGTACATCTCTTTTCTTCTCCTGTAGTCCCCTAACTATTCCATGTTAATCTAGATTTATTTTTTTGTCTACAACTATTCATGAACTTTGCCTTATTTTGGAAGATGTCCTTAGTTAAGGATGTAATTTTAAAAGCCAAATCATTGCTATTAGCATATTATTTAATAGGCCATCACTTGCCTCTTAGAGTTATGAATTTCCAGATTTAGGCTTTCCTTTAATTTTACATTTTTATTGAATGGAATTTCCATTTGTTAAAATTTTTGACAGTTAAATAAATAACTGATATTAAATAAATAACTGATATTAAATTAGCCAATATTACATAAATAACTGAAATAAATGAGTTAAGTCAGTTTAATCTCTACACGATGTTAATATTTATGCCCATGAGTATCTCCTTTCATTTTCCATAAATTTACTCCACCAATAGAACCCTTCTTTATGACAGTTTATTTCTGATTGCCTAATAAAACTGTTCAAAGTAAGTGTCCCTAATTCTTTTTTTTTTTTAAACATTTTATTTATTTATTGGACAGAGATCACAAGTAGGCAGAGAGGCAGGTGGGGGCAGGGGGAAGCAGGCTCCCTGCTGAGCAGAGAGGCTGTGATACGGGGCTTGATCCCAGGACCCTGGGATCATGACCTGAGCCAGAGGCAGAGGCTTTAACCCACTGAGCCACCCAGGCATCCAAGTGTCCCTAATTCTGTGCTACAGACCAGTTAAGCCAGATTAACTCATTTGGTGTTCGTATTTTCCATTTATGTCTTCAGCGTGACCTCCTTATAAATATGTAGATAAGATCCTGGCATCATATGATATGATTGCCAGCAATGATTCTTGTTTGCACCTTTATTTTTCTCTGTCATCAGGATTATTGGCAGAATTACACATTATATTTCATTATCGTGATCATTACTGACCTGCATTCAAATTGCCTAAGGTCCCTTGTTGCAATTTTTCTATCTCGGCTTGTTTTCACAGAAGCTACCTAAAATTTTTCTTCACTCAAATATTCTTGGATGTGTCCTTGAAATTTAGGAATTAACTTTCCTACCCCATCTTCACCAGCACAAGTGTTATCTGTGTTATAGACATGCATGCACACACCCATAGTGATATTTTCTGTTCATATTTAATACTCTTTATTAATGAGTAGCATTTCAAGATACCATTTAAAAAACAACATGGCTGGGGCACCTGGGTGGCTCAGTGGGTTAAAGCCTCTGCCTTCAGCTCAGGTCATGATCCCAAGGTCTTGGGATCGAGCCCCACATCGGGCTCTCTGCTTAGCAGGGAGCCTGCTTCCTCCTCTCTCTCTCTCTGCCTGCCTCTCTGCCTATTTATGATCTCTGTCTGCCAAATAAATAAAAAATAAATAAAATCTTTTAAAAAAAATAAATAAATAAAAATAAAAAACAACATGGCTTGTGATTTGTTTATCAGCAATCCACAAAGGGACCAGGAAGCCTGTCATAGGTCACATTTTAAACTGATGGGTGTTAAAATGTTTTTGTCATCTTTAGTTTAGTCTGACAGTGAAGCCATGCCATTTCAGCCAACTGCCATGAGGACAGGTGACCTTTCTTGGTCTGGTTTTTAACAACACAGATTACACTGTATTGTAATTAATTGTTCATGTTCCTTTTTTCCATTCTCCTGAGACTGGGAGCCAGCGTTTACTTGGTATGGCCATATTCTATCACAGGGCTTAGCATTAGTAAATGATGAGGGAATGTACACCACAAGAGAACCTTACCACGTAGAAATTCACTGGCCATAGATATGATCTTATTTATAATTTGCTATACGGCACATGAAGTCAGGCAGGAAACATATGAGAGGGTTAACCATGTTGCCCTGAAGTCAGACTGCCTTACCCTTCGCCCTGTTTTGCTGC